GAAGTCCAACAACAAGCACCGGAGCTACTTTTATGTCAAGCTGTGTACATCAAAACAGCAAAAAAAAAGTTTTTCCAAAAATAACTTATCTGACGAGGTCCAATTGTGGTAATGGTAAGAAATGTATACGACTGAATGGACCGAAACACTTCTTGGCATTAAAAATAATTTTTGATAGATTTAAAATTTTATCAATTTCTTCTTTTTAACATTCAAATATTATTCGATCAGTACGATGTCCCGCTCAGCTACTCGTTTCTCCTGCCATCTACTGAGCAACCAAAACCTCTTCGCTTCTGCTGCACTCGCACTGCATTCATGTTTCATTTCGTAGATGCATTCAAACGTCCTTCCTCTTTTTTCTTTGATCCCGCATCTTTCATTGCACAACTGACAAACTGCGGCTACTATTCAACAATCCCCTTTGTCCATCCCCCTTGTCAACAGACTTTCCTATTTGTGAAACTGATGCTTAGGTAAAGCTGAGAGCGAATAAGTTCCATGAAATGAGCAAAAGCAGGGTAGATCAGGATAAGACCAGTCCAGTTCTTCTATATATCTTGCGCTGTCTTGATTACGTCGTGTTCATAACAAATCAGAATAGCAGGTACTTCACTGAAAATATGCCCTATATCTTGCTGGGGATACCTGTCAGGCGTAGTTTCATAGTTTGCTGGATAATCAACGCATTTGAAAAATCTATCTTTTCGGTTTACCAGTAAGCTGAATCTATTTGTTTTCAGGAACGTTTTTTAGTACGAAACGGTGGAACTGAAAGAGCACATTTCATACCGACTTGCGTAAAGTCCTTCCAGATTTTGAAAAAGGCACAGCATCCGGAGACACACGCACTGGGATAACGAGAATAAGTAGCGGCGCGCACCGAAGGAGCGGTGCAAACATGCATTCTGTGCAATTCCGCCCACCGAACGATTGCCTGCTAATGATTTTCGCTGCTTTACACTTTGGTCTGTGCAGAAATAGTTGAAATGTTGTCTGTTTCTTAAGTTGCAGAATTTGCTATTAAAAATCCCACGCACCGGCACGTGAAAGCTGAATTTGAAAGTTCGAAGGGCGAATACCCTTCCACGATTCCAGCCTCCTAATTTCTCGCTCTCAAGTGATTTTTGCGCCAAAACTTTCACGTGTTCGTATGTGAGAGCTCGGTATACTTACGAACTGAATTCGAATTTAAGAAGCCCTGCTTGGAAACATTATCCTGAAATTTTCAGTCCGCTAGCACTTCTAGCTCCCGAGATAATGGTTTTTCTCGCCAAAACCTCTACAGGGACGTTGAAAATTTGCGAATTTGCAAGTAGGCAAGGGATGCCACCATAAAATTTTGGCTTCCTAGCTTTTGTGGTTCCAGTGATAATAATTTTACCCGCCAAGACTTTTACAGGGCCGTATATGCTACCCGCGGGTAAAAAGGAAGGCTGAATTCAAGGTTTCTGAGTCATGCGGGCAGGGGCATACTCATAAAATTTCAGCTCTCTAGCTTTGTGGTTCCCGAGATACTGATTTTACCCGAAAAACTTTTACGGGGCCGTACGTGTTACCCGCGGGTACGGGAAGGCTGAATTTAAATTTGCTGCGTCCCCCGCTGGCGGGGAACACTATACTAAAATTTCTGCCGCCTAGCTTTTGTGGTTCTCGAGTTGAAAGTGCGGGACAAAATCTGGGACACACACAAACACATACAAACACACACATACAAATACACACACATACAAATACACACACAAATACACACACATACAAACACACACACACATACAAACACACACACATACAAACACACACACACATACAA